ACCAGCATAAAAGACAAAGGCATAGGGAAAGAAGCACTACAGGGCAGCAGAGTGGTTGAGGGCAGACTCTGAGCCAGACTGCTTGTCTTCCAATCCACAAGTACTCACTTACTAGCCAAGTGACCAAAGTCATCTTGGGTCAACAACAATACTTCTGTGTGCCTCATTTTCCTCATCTGTGAAATGGGAAAAGTAACTGTGCCTACCTCACAGGGTTTTCTAAGTATTCAATGAGTTAATATAATATCAAATGCTTAAAGTTACATCTGATGCCTTATAAGTGTGATGCAAGCGTTAACTACTTCTTAGCATTCAGTGATCAGCTCAGTGCCTGGCATCCTGGAGCAGTTCAAAGAACATCTGTTGAATAAAGGTTAAATTTAAAAAAAGCAAACATCTCATTCCTATATACCAGGCATACCAGAAAATCACAAAACATAAATAGACTCCTCTCCAATGAGTTACTCAAACGAAAAAGAGAGAACAAAGGTCCCTGAAATTATTCTACTCATCTACTTCCTGACTGGTTCAAGATGACGGGCATGCATTTCAGGTTATTAAACTATTGGTTATTGGTTATTATACTAATATACTATGATTGGTTAGTCTACTATTACTGCTCATATAAAATGAACACAGAGATTTCTGAAGTAATGACAACCTATCTCTATTAATGCTATTATAAGGAAAAAGAAAAAAAGTAGCCAGGCCTTTCATCTCAAATTAAAAGGCTGTGTTCTTTTTCTGTATATGACAAATTATAAAAACCAGTATATTATTCAGCTTTACTTATTCAAGAGTTTGAAACTCACTCTCCAAACACCACTCAAATGTATTTTCTCTGCCTTCCATCATGCCTCCTATGAGACAACAGAACAGACTATTTTAATTTACTATATATTTAATGCAATCACATGAACTAGGAATAATTTTACTAGCAGAAAACATACACGTATGTGTACATACCTATACACACACACATATATATAAGTGTACAATATAAAAATCAGAGTTTAAGCACAAGTGACCATTTTTTAAAGTCCTCAAGTTAAGCATAACTAGTTCTAAGTTTCTCTGTTCTTAGTTTACTACTTGTTTATCATGTTGTCTTCTGTCAATATCACCAAAAGTAGTAATTGTTTAAGAAAATGTTATGGATGAAAATACTTCAAACAGAGGAATTATGGTCCTAATTTATTTTTTTCCTGCAAATTTTACATGCTTAATTTTAGCAACCAACCGACCACCTTAGTCCAACAATGGAAACTCTGGTGCAAGTTTGAGGATGTTTACCCTGGAAAATGCCACTACTGTTGTCAGTCTCTAGAATCCAGCTTCCTGTTGGCTTCTGCTCATTCGCCTGTCCCCCCAGTATACTGTAAGTAACCTGCACAGTGCCTGGCACAAGAGTCATTTTAGGAATATGTGAATAAATAAATACTGGGCCCCGACCCAAGGCCACAGCAACTCACAAAGGTAGGCTATTAATGACGTAGAACTGGACAAGGAAGTAGCCATTACTAAGCAATCATTCATTCAACAGGTATTTACTGAGTATCTAGCACATGCAAAACACTGTTAGGCCCTAGAGGGACACTGAGGCCATTAAAATCTGGACCTTGCCCCAGTGTGTCAACAGTCAGACTGAGGGAAAAATATGCTGTTTTATAAGAACTCAAAATGCTGACAATGAAAGAGATGTCTGATTATTACACATCAAGTGATTATTGTTAGGTATTAAGCAAAGTGACCCAATAAGATACCTGTTCATAAAAATGTATCATTCAGTGTTAGAGAAGAACTGAGCAATGAAAGAGAATGAAGATTTAATCAATGTTGTGAAGACGTAAGGAAAAAGGTTCCCCCAGTTTCTTTCAAAGCTTCAGAACTCCTTCACATAACCCAAACAAAGTCCTAACCCAATCACAATTCCTTCCTGCTTTCAGAGGTAGGGGACAAATACTTGGAGTATCAATGTAATTGAGATTTCTTCAATCAAGCTGCCCTGTACCCCTAATTCCTACAACGCAAATGAAATGAGAAACAAGATCAGTATGAATGACTTTGTTATTGATAAATAATTTCTGTAGTTCTTAGCCTACAGACTATCAAATGACACTAATAAACAGAAGTGGGTCAATAGTCAGTATCTATTTCAGTATCAAGTACGTTCAAATTTATCCTGCATCAAATCAATACAAGTGTTATATCAGTCCCCTGAACTTGTGTCTGCTGACGTATTCTTAGCTCAGATCCCAGAGACTAACGAACAGTCCTATTTTATTTTATTTATTTATTTATTTTTTGCGGTACACGGGCCTCTCACTGTCGTGGCCTCTCCCGTTACGGAGCACAGGCTCCAGATGCGCAGGCTCAGCAGCCACAGCTCACGGGCCCAGCCGCTCCATGGCATGTGGGATCTTCCCAGACCGGGGCACAAACCCGTGTCCCCTGCATCAACAGGCAGACTCTCAACCACTGTGCCACCAGGGAAGCCCAACAGTCCAGCAAGTATTCCATGGCATTCCTCAGAAGGGAAATACTATTAAACTCTATTTAAATTTCAGTCTCAGTGCTGGAATTAATGTCCTTGCTCTTTGTAACTTTCTTTGGCTGCTGTACTTTTTATACCCTGCTCTTAACTCCACATATGTATGATTTGATGGTAAGTAGCATATCTCACTAGAGGGATGAAGTAACAATTTTATAGGGATAGTTGGGAAAAGGAATATGCTTAGTGATTTAAAACTGAAAGATAATGCTGACTCTTAGAGCTATACCAATTAATTTCGAATCTGGTATAATTTTTTCAAATGCAAATCTGATCATTTCACTACATTTCTTACCATTCAATAGCTTCCTATTGAATAGCTTCCTCAGAATAAAGTTTTAAATCTTTCCCATAGTTTCCAAAGTTTTAAATCCCACCATTTGGTTCCTGCCAGATTCTCAATCTCCTTATTGTGTCATTCTCCCACCTTACATATTACAGTCTATGCAGCCACACTGCTTTTCCTTTAACTTCTCAAATTTTGTTTTTCAATTTGGCTAAGGGCTTTTTCTCATGCTGTTTTTCCTCCTAGAACTTTCTTAATCCCATCCTATTCTTTGCTTAGCTAACTCGTACTCATCTTTCTGGTTTCCAGGGAGTCTGACCCTAAACCTCCTCTCTCTTCCCGCACCCTTCACCTTCCGCCTGCCCCTAGTTACACCTTCATACTTTTTCTTTGGTAGCAGTGATTATACTTATATTCCCTGTTCAGTGTTTATCTTCTTCACCAGACTGTAAATTTCAGGACAGAGAGCCTTCTGTTTCTTTCACTGTGTCCAACACTGGCACATAGAAGGCACTCAATTATTTGTTGAATGAATGAACAAACAAACAAATGGAAGGTCCATGTGAGTATGGTCAGGACACAGAAAGTTTAAAATTTGCTCTAGGATCAGTTCCACTCATTTCATTCATTCATACTCTGTGTGTTGAAGCCTTCAAACTGCTTCTAGAATGTGCCCCTGCTCTCCATTCTTTATTGGCCAAAGCCTCTCATTTTTAAAAATAAAGTTCATTTTCTTCCCCCAGAAACTTCCCAAGAAAGATGAGGCCATTCCCAGGTATTTATATACAGTCTATGCTTGTAGAAACACATATCTATGTTTGGCAACACTGGTTAACTTCCACAGTGGTTAGAGATTCGATCAATTATGGCTCTGTTGAGTCTCATGTTTTCAACTTAACAGGTATGTTACATATGGGATTCGCCCCTTGCCACTAAGACTGGTTCATATATTAAGTTAATGTTTGCTTATCAAAGTTAAACAATTTATTATATTTTTATTTCCTCTTTAAAATATTTCTCCCAATGAGGAAGAAAACATCTTTTTGCCATATGAAAACCCCTTATTAGCGACTGCAGCAAATGTGCAAGGCTAAGAACACAGTTTAACAATCTGAGGAGCACCCATGAACACTAGCTGGCTGACAGTCTTGAGCTGGGTTGTAAATACAGATGTGTCAGCTTGCTGTTTCCATCTGGGAGGCAGCTTGGTATTGTAACCCAGGCAACCCCAAGACTCGTATGCCAGTCATAAACTACTATTTGCAAACTGGGAAAGTCACCTATGTCCTCTGCATCTTAAATTTCTCAAATGTCCCTCAAGGTAGCTGTGAGATCATAAATAGTAAAGCCCTTTGTAAAGCAGAATAGGGTCAGGAATTTAAGTCTGTAATGATTATTGGTAGGTTTATCTGAGAGCATTCTCTTTGAGAGTAGTTACTGACCAAATCAGACAAGAACTCTGTTCAAAACACCCACTTCACATTTGTCATCTAACTGTTCCACAATGACTTGCAGAGAAGTAGACGGATAAATTTTTGTACACAATTAAAGGTTATCAAAGATATTTCAAATAAAAATATTTTCAAAAGAATATCTTTCCTGTGGTTTGGAATAGAGTTCAAAGAAGTTTGGAGCAGGAATAGTGGCTAAGAGCTTAAAGAATTACCACATCCACTATTATTATTATTATTATTTTTGGTACGCGGGCCTCTCACTGTTGTGGCCTCTCCCGTTGTGGAGCACAGGCTCCGGACGCGCAGGCTCAGCGGCCATGGCTCACGGGCCCAGCCGCTCTGCGGCATGTGGGATCTTCCCGGACCGGGGCACGAACCCATGTCCCCTGCATCGGCAGGCGGACTCTCAACCACTGCGCCACCAGGGAAGTCCCAGATCCATTATTGTATTGTTTCAGGAACAATTCTAAGGAATAGCTACGTAAGAATACATCTGTGACAGGAGCTACATTAATCCTTGGTAGTAACACTAGCAGTCCCTTCTACCGTAATTCTATCGTAATTTGGGTTTTCTTAGAAACTGTAGATCATCAGCATAGCACTTGCAATGGAGGTCTGTCCTATAACTTTATTTTGTTAAACAAGAGAAAAAAGTGTCATCTGATATATGGTAGCAAAAGGAAGAGATATAATCAAGGAATGTACTTACTCTTTGAGGTACTTGATAGTTCTAAAACTTTAATCAACTTAGAAGAAATATATGCACATCTGAACACACAGCACAGATGATCTGGACCTAAAGAAATAGGAAAAGTACTTCAGATTAAAATGGTACTAGTTTAAAAACTCAATTTGAATTCACAGAGCATTAGGAGAAATAATTAGCAATCATCTGAAATCAATGAAATCTTAAACCAAAAAAGGTGGTCAATGAGTTAAAGAAAAGGCAGTTTATTCTTAAATTCACACAATATCTGTATGTGAGATATAGAAGAAAAAATTAACCCTCATTTCGTGATTCGAGAAGATAGGAAAAATAAGGATAAAAGTCACTTTACTATCCTGGAAATAGATGATCAATATTTAATGAATTTTTTAGATCCTTTCATGACTATAGTGAAAGAATGGAGGGCCAATGAAACACTGTGTGATTAGTTGTCTTGGCATAAAAGACATTCATGATTTTTTTTTTTTTTGCGGTACGTGGGCCTCTCACTGTTGTGGCCTCTCCCGTTGCGGAGCACAGGCTCCGGACGCGCAGGCTCAGCGGCCATGGCTCACGGGCCCAGCTGCTCCGCGGCATGTGGGATCTTCCCGGACCGGGGCACGAACTCGTGTCCCCTGCATCGGCAGGCAGACTCTCAACCACTGCGCCACCAGGGAAGCCCCCATGATGGTTCTTTAATACCTTTAAAAAGTATACTGACAACAAAACTAGTCCAAGCTGATTCGCACTGTGCCTACTAAGATTTGCATCTAGAATGCTTTTTTGAGTTTATAGCTCCACCAATAGCTCAACCCGCCATTTAAACGTTTCCATATATCTTTCTTAAGCATCGACAACTTCATCTTCAAATACTATTTACCTCAAATAGGAGGATGAGAAGGAAAACTTGTAAACACCTGAAAACTTCCTGGGTTAAGGCTGTATCGCTAGCCCTACTACGCTCATTAAGTAGAATGATGTTCCCAACAGTCTGCACAGAAGTGATTTAAATCAGGCGTTTTTTTTGCTTTTGTTTTTGTTCTTCTCTTTTCCAGATGTATGTCTGGGTTGGTTTCAAGCACAACTGCTCAATCCAAAGTTAAGTGAAATCATTTTTACAATAGAAAACACACAACAGGATCTCTGAGCAATCATTTTTAAGTGGGGTCACCAAGTCTGGCTTTCTAATGTCATGACTAGCCTCTTGCAAAGCCTGTAACACAGAACTTGGGCTTCAGAGGAAAGCAAATCAAGCTTCCAGAGAAGCCTCCCCTCCCCCACACCCTCCTCTCACTCCCTTTGAGCTGTGTCCTCAGGAGCACCAGAGCCAGCAGAAAAAAAGAGAGAGAGAGAAAAAAAAGAGCTTTCCAGGTAAGAACCAATGGAAAGAGACCGCAACAGTGACCATGAACGCTCTCAGAAAAACCCATCTCTGCAACACTGAGTGGGTTGAACAGTGAACAGGTCATCATTACACAACCAGCATGAGCTGCTGATTCAAAAATAGCAACCTGCGGCTCCACACCGCACACCCGGCCAGGCAAGCCCCAAGCCCCTGGCTGCCCCGACCAGACACCTAGACATTTTCATACTCTTGGGTCCAAAATAATTTTTTAGAGCTCTACCAAATACCTCCTCACTCAGTGTTCACGTCCGCAAATGTGGTCAGCATTTTTCAAGGCTAAATGACTCCCGTCGTTTAAGCAACCTTACACAAAATCCTCAGCTACTTATGCAAAAGACCCAGAAATTGGAACATTCTTGACCAGACCTACCTGTTTCTCACATCCAGAGCATTTTACTCGCCCACACTGAGGAAGCTCTTAGAGCGTCTACCTCTCCGCGTCCCAGGAAGTGCGTTCCCAGTGAGCCACACCGGAGGCTTCTGGGACTCGTAGTCAGGTTCCCTAAACCAGCATGTCCTGGATGACTGGGAGACTACAATTCCCAAAATCCACTGGGCCGGCAGTCACAGGCAATATCCTGGGACCACCTTCCGCCCTCTGCTCCGCTTCCCACCTCCACCATTCCTCTAGCACCTTCAGTTCCGTCCAGATTTGTGTTACAGGTCTAAAAAACAGTTAAAGGAAACAAAACTAAAAATAGTTTTGAGTTGGGTCCCCAAGTAAATATTTCCCACTAAATGATTTATTTACCACTTTCAGTGGGAAAGGGGGAGGGAGGGTCAGAGTGCTTTTTTGTTTTTATATCATTTTTTTTTTTCCACCTGCTGTTTCTCAAGTAACTTTAACTCAAAACAATCAATATGCCATTGAGGCATATCTGGAGGTGGCCTTGCCCTGGGCAGATGCTTAAGTGTCATGATCACACATACACATAAATGGAGATAAAGTAAATGTGGTAAATATTGATAATCGTTAAATCTAGAGACAGTAAGTATACGGGTGTTCATTGTACTATTCAAATTCTCTGTACCTTTGAACATTTTCAAAATAAAAACTTTGAGAGAAAGCATCATAGTTTTAAATGAAAGTAAAGGATGGCATCCATCCCTATCCCACTCTGCCGCTGTATGACCTTGGGCAAGTTAAATAACCTCTTTGTAGCTCAGGATCTCATCTGTAATAATAATGTATTTATATCAGAAACGATGGTGAGGATTAAATGAGTTACTATACATAGACAGTATACGTGTCTAACACACAATAAGGACTTTACATATTTGCTATTTCCATTTGACATTTTTGTGTTGCTCTAGTAACGGGACTATGTGTTAGTAATGAAAAAGGCTACTATCTCTGCACTGCTACCACTTTCTCATCTTCCATACTGCTTCAGAGGATGTAAGGTGATTTAAGGCCAGAAGCAATCCGATCCCAAAGCCAGACCTAGAGATGTAACAATGAGAAAGAGGGACAGCATTGGGTGGTAAAAGGATCTCTGGGTACAAAAAGGCTCTGGGCTCCAGGCCAGCTCTGGCAATAGCAGATGGATGATGACGATATGACACAGGATTCTTTGCTCTGAACTTCAGTTCTCTAATCTATAAAACTGAATTGAATCAAATAACTGTGTACAAAATCATTTTATAATTTATTTCCCAGTCATTGATGACTACCTTGTTAGCAGACTTTAGCTGAGATGTATATGTAGTTGATAATATGTTTTTTTAAAGCTATAAAAGGAAGGGAAGACAACCCTATTTTTAGACTTATTGATCAAGTTCAGGTCTCTGTTTAGCCTGCCTTTGGTATGGAAAAGATGAAGTGAAATACTTACATGCCCTAGTGGGACTAGAATGTTGGAATATCATTCTCAGAAGTACTTTAGGTAAGACTTTGAGCAATTAACAATCCTGGCTTCCAAGTTCACTGCAATATACCGTTCATCTCCAAAATTCTACGAAGATTGTCATTTATTCTATTAGTTTCCTATTGCTGCTTCAACAAATTACCACAAACTCAGTGGCTTATAAAACACCACAGATTTATTATCTTACAGTTCTGGAGGTCAGAAATCTGACAGGGTCTCCCTGGGCTAGAATCAAGGTATCAGCTGTGTTTTTTTCTGGAAGCAAGAGCTGTGTTTTTTTCTGGAAGCTCCAGGGAAATCTCCTTTTCCTTCTACTTCTCCAGTTCCTGAGGACACCTTCATTCCTTAGCTTGTGGCCCCCTTCCATCTTCAAACCCAGCAATACTGGTTGAGTCTTTCAACATCTAAATCATTTCACCCTACATTCTTCTGCCTCCCTCTTGTAGCTTTTAAGAACCCTTGTGATTAAAATTGACCCATCTGGACTACCCAGGATAATTTTTCTATTTTATGGTCATCTGACTTGCAACCTTAATTCTGTAACAGAGCATTTTCAGATTCCAGAGAGGAGAAGGAGGACATCTTTAGGGGACTATTATTCTGCCTACTACAGTCACTAATAACCTCTTTCTGCTTGAATTCAAAGGCTTCTTTTTGGTCCTAATTCTCTTCCACCGGCTTCAGGTCCACATTACACAATTCAGACCACCTTTATTCCCTAAACTTTTCTTCCTTGGATATGGAAACATCAACATTTCTACCTTTCTTCTAGTTTATCTGATTAATTCACTGTCCACCAGCTGCTTTCACTTCTTCACATAAAGATATTTTAACAGTTTCCTTACATATATTATCAATTAAAAAAATAATAGATAACACTGAATATATACCAAGCACTTTTTCATTTAATTACCATAACCTCATATTAATGACAAAGAAATTGAGATGCAGAAAGGTTAAATAATTTGCCCAAAGTCAAGAAGTGGTTAAGTGGTAGATCTTCCTAAAAGATGGCTGTCACTATTCAGAATTCTCCAGACTCAGGACAGTTTCCTATTTTTGGATTTCTGCCTCTAAGATCTTACTTAAATCTAACTGCTCATTGAAGCTATTCCTGAACTTGAAATGACCTCATACTATCCTCTTTGCTCACTCAAATCCTACCTACCTCCCCGCTGCTCTGAATATTTGTATCTTCACTAAACTACATAGTAAACTACACAGTTCAACCTCAAATTGTAAATTAACTTGCACACACTGTTCCTTTTCCATGTTAGTCATATCTCACCATAGTATTTCTCCAACTCCATGACTGAAATTCAGCGAACTTAGGTTAATGAAAAAACCCATAAACTTGTTTTTAGACGAGACTGTCAAATAAAAGTAATAGATAACATTATAATTGGGAAGTTGGCAAGTATAGTTGGGAAATAAATTTATACTATTAGTTCGGAAGTGTAGAAAGAAAAGAAGGGAAGCACTGTGGGTTGCATATGTCCCTCAAAAATTCATCTACTGAGGTCTTAACTCCCTCAGCATACATCAGGATATAACGTTATTTGGAGATAGGGTCTTTACAGAGGTAATCAAGTTAAGAAGAGGTCCTTAGTATTAGCCTTAATCCAATATGACTGGTTTCCTTAGGAAGAGGGGAAATCTGAAGACAACCTCACACACAGAATGCCATGCAAAGATGAAGGCAGAAATTGGGGTGATGCTTCTATAGGCCAAGGAATGCCAAAGATTGCCGGCTAACCACTACATGCTAGGTGAATGGCATGGAAGATTCTCTCTCCACAGCTCTCTGAAGGAATTAACC